AAAAAAAAAAAAAAAACTAAAAATTGATTTGTATTGCTGAAGCGAAACAAAACATCATTTATCAAAACGCTTTAACACCTCATCCAACAATCTTTTGTTGTTATTTTATCCTTATTTTTCCATTCAGTTATTTTTTTTTCTTCCATCAGTATCGCTATTTTGCTGTCCAAAATGCAGAACAACGATAACGATTCGTCGTTGTTTTCACCCAAAACTTATAGTATTAACTTGGCTAACAAGCAGGAAGAAAACGGAAGATGTAAACGGTGATCAGAAACAACATTCCTGCTTCGTTCAACTCCTCTAATTTTAGCTTACTTTTGCACCTGCAGCTAAACTGCATTTAGATTCTTGTACAATTTTTCTTCAACATTGCTGTCATGTTACGATCAGACAGATGATCAGCGCTGGTTACATGAGAAGTCAAATATCTTATTCTGGTTAAACAACGAGAAAAAAAGCATTAGAAACAGGAGAAAATAAAGCTAAAAAAAAGCAATAGAGCAAAAAAATAAAACTTATAATGACAATAATAGTTCCATAATATCTTTGTCGAAAACCCTAGTTCTTTCCTCACCCATTTTTTACTTCAGGAAAACATAAGAGAAAAAATAATAGAACTTGAAAAACGTTCAAAATATTTTTCATCATCATTGTTTACCGCTGACTAAAAGCTGAAAAAAAATGAGAGAATTTTTATGCATTTATTTTATTCATTTTATAGAATTCACTTGTCCTTCTCTGTTACAGATCTTTCCAATATTTCATATTCAACAGTATCAGAGAATAGCTCTTAATTTTCCATTGCTTTTCAACCATAACTGTGTGTCACCTACAAAAAAAAAAAAAAATTCTGATAAAAATTGAAAAAAAAAAAAGTAATTGTCCTAGTTGTGTGTATTCCTTTAGCTGTTGTTTTATAAATCGACGAACAGTTTGATTATACAGAAGCAGAAAAAACTTTTTGCTGCCTAAAAAACGTTAAGAAAAAACAAATAAATATATAAAAGTTTGCCACAAGAATAGTGCCAAAAAAAGACCTTTGCTTAAATTGTGTTCTCTCTCGCTCTTCTTTTTTTTCTGTTCTTATTTTATCTTTCCTTCATTTCTGCATAAACTAAAAAAAAATTTTTTTGAAGAAAATACGGCAAACAAACTGTAAACATTCGATGTTTAAGCTTTCAGAAGACTAAACTAAGAATGTTTTGCTTAGCGCAACTCTGTTTGCTGCTTGGCTGATCATTTGGCCGCAAATAATCATTATTTTCATCAACATCTGCTTAGTTTAGGCTGCTTAGGTTACCCTTAAACGTGAATAATGACAAGAAGCAAAAAAAAAAAATAAAAGCTTTAACAATTATTCTTTGAAGTACAACTTAGTGGAAGAAAAAAGACAGCTTTAGGGTTTAAAAAAAATGGAAGAATCAAAAAAATGAGAAATATTAGAATTTCAAACGGTCAAATGGTCTGTGAAAAGCGAAAGCTGGAAAGTTGCAGTAATGCGGCTATAGTTTGTTCCAAAGTCATCAGGCCATTGGCGGCTTTCCACATGTAAATATGTATCCAAAAAAGGCTTTTAACAGCCTGTGCCTAGCCGAGAGGTTTCCAGAATTAACTTCTTCAAAAACAATCCTTCCTCTTTCAAGTCAGCTTAAAATTGGCATAGGAAGTAAAAGTTTCTTACCCGGTCGTAATTGACGTGAAAGCATAAAATGTACTCCCCCCTCGTCAAAAAAAAAAAAAAAAA